AGAGGGATAGACAGTGCTCTCTGTTTTTAAACTGAAATTCACATAGTTTATGTGAATATATTATAGCTCATGATTTGTGGATATCACAGATATCACTGGCGATTTACTAATCCTTATTTTTGTTGTGTGATTGCTCATCTCAGTCACATGGTGTTGTTTCTATTGCTTGATTGGAATAAGAAAAATGATCAATGAATAATAAAGTTAAAACTTTAGACACGCTAAAAATTGTGAAAATTTCAGGATTTAGAAACAGTCAGTAGTCAGAAATTCTTGTGTACACATGACACCAGACACCATGAATAGCAGTGTACCAAACTTATCACATTTATTTGTGAAAATATTTGTAAACTATTTTTTGTATTTTTGTCCTGCTGTAATATGCATATATAAGTCTGGATTGTGTTTTCTCCTATGCGATCAAACATTGATATGTAGCAAGTGACCATCTGGACTCAATTAATCTATAAATGCAGACTTTACAAGGTATTTGAAAGTTTGTGTCAGATCTTCAGAGGAAAGTCTTCAGATTTTTCTTTTTATGTATCTCTTTCCATATGTGAAACACCAACACTATGCTGCCTTTTTCAGACTTTTGAAAAGCCTGTTGTAAACATAAGTATTAAGGATAAAATCCACAGGTTCATTTGAGTTTCTTGATACTGCTACTCTGTACTTCATTCAGGTTCTTGTGTAATCTAAGGCTATGTCTACACTGCGGTGGTATTTTGGGATACCAGAGTATCCCGAAATAGCTATCCCGTGTCTTCACAGCAAGCCCATTATTTCGGGCTTGCTATTCTGGCATCCCTTTAAACCTCATTCCATGAGGAGTATGGGGCGTTTTGGAATAGTGGGTTATTTCTAAATTTATGAAATAAGCTCTTTTGAAATAACATCGAAATAAGATACGCAATTTGTGTAGCTCAAATGGCATACCTTATTTCGAGCTATGGTGCAGTGTAGATGCACCCTCAATGAGCACTCCTCGTTATCAGTAAACATTCAGTCAATTACTTTTTTAAATAAAATATTAACAAAGTTTTGAAAATCCATGTGAGAATAGCAAGGTCAAAACCATCACCAGAGCATCTGCTCATTCAGGCTTCTAGCACAATGAGATTGTAATAAAAGTAATAAATATCAGTAAAAATGAGAGTGGATGGCCAAAGAAAGATGTTTTCTCTTGCCAGCCCTTTGCCCTGGCATAGGGAATCATCTAGCTTCTTATAGTTTACTCTGCTGAAGAGTCTGAAAAGTGATAGCACGGCACTCGGCAGCTATAGCTGCAACAAAATAAAAATACAGCAGGAGGCATGACTTTTAAGTGTAACATGAAATGACTGCATATAGGCAATACATGACTCACCTGGGCTTCTCAGTAGCAGAGGCTATGCTATTATCTACAGGGGAAGTAGTTGCCAGGAAACATCTATATAAAAATAGCTACATAGAATCATAGAAATGTAGGGGTGGAAGGGACCTCCGGACAGAGCAGTTCCATCCATTGAGTAATTTGGGGTGGCCACCTTGGCCCCATGCTCTGAGGGTATGTCTACACTACCCCCCTAGTTCGAATTAGGGGCGGTAATGTAGTCACTACACGCGGCACGGGGTCCGACCTAGCCGGCATTTAAAAATGGCACTGGCCGGCTTTATGCAAATGAAGCCCGGGAAATTCCAATCCCGGGCTTCATTTGCAACTCCGTATGACTACATTACCCCCCCTAGTTCGAACTAGGGGGGTAGTGTATACATACCCTCAGAAACACTGCAGGAAACACAGAGGCTGGAACAGCCAGCCTGGCCCACCCTCTCACTTACTAGAGGTGGAGTGAGGGTGGGAAGAGGCATGGTGGGGTAGGCCTGTGGTAGAAGGGAGTTGACACAGTCCCTGCAGCCCCGCTAAGCATGATGCTGCCTCTGGAGGTCATCTAGTCTATACCCCCTTGTACTGAAGCAGGATTAGGTATACCAAGACCTCCCCAATAGGTGTCTGTCTCACTTGTTCTTAAAAACCTCTAATGATGGGGGAATTCCACTGCCTCCCCTGGTACCTGGTTCCAGCGCTTCATTATTCTTATAGTTAGCTGTTGGGGAAAACTTTGCAACATAAATCTCCCTGCTGCAAACTAAGTTGATTACCTGTTAATCTACCATCAGATGACAGGGAGAACAGGTAATCAGCCTGCTTTTTATTGCATTTTACACATATGAAGACTGTTATTGTGTCCTCCCCTTCTCTCCTATAGATAAAAAATGCCCAGTTTTTTCCCCCTTTCCTCATCATAGGTCATGTGTTTTAATTCTCTTGCCATTTTTGTTGCTTTCTTCCAGACTCTAGCCACTTTGATCATACTTTTTTTAAAGTTGTGGTGTACAAAACTGGCTACTCTACTCTGAGCCTCACCAGTTTCAAGCTCTTTGACACAGAGTCATAGAATTTAAGGCCAGAAAGGATCACTGCATCATCTAATCTGACCTTCTTTATGATACTGACCACCACCACCATCCAGACACTGTTTTGTTTCTACATCAGACATTCCCTGTTAATACCTTCCAGGATATGGATACCAAAATCACGGGCAAAGTCTGTGATACTGCCACACCAGATAGGGCATTCGGGCTCTAAGGGATGACTGCTAGGGAAGCAAACAGCATGATCACTATGTGCCCTGACATGCTAGTGGTGGCGACTTTCATGTCTGTCTGGGGAGAAAAGTCTTCTCTACCTCAGTAAAGTTTTGCCTATTCGTGTAGGCTCAACTTCGGGCTCCCTAAAAGTGGATAAAGAGGATGAATGTGAAGCAGGGCCAAGTGGAAACTGGTCTGTCTTTAAACACAATTAACACTCGATTGTTAAAAATAAACTGAGTAAAAATACTGAGTTTAGAGAGATGAGCTGCCTGGATAACTGGCTTGCAAAGGAAGACTGATTCTAGTGTAGGTTACATCAGAAAAGCAGAAATACAAATAGATGCTTTATTTTTTTACTAACATTTCCCAACACCTTCCCCCTGATTTTTCTAGCAAATGAAAACTTGTGATCATCACTACAGTGGGATAATATGTTAATCCAGTTTAATTACTACTAAAGCAGGTAGGTGTTTTTTCATTATGTGTATTTGATAGATGGGAACCTCCTCTGGAAAGTGAGGGATGACAAAATTTAATTGGGCTCCTCTGGACTCTTTTCTCAAATTCACATGTAGGCTATAGCAAATCACAGATTAAAGAATTTGTTTTCTTTAAGTTAGTTGTTGAGTTAGGGTAGGATAACAATCTATACAATAACCTAAAAAATGAAAAAAATCTGTTATATTTCTGGTCTCTTGGAAACATTTTCTTAAAGAAATAAGGAATTATCATTTAAGCTTTCCTAATGAAGAGACTGGAAAGTGGTAAATCCACAGTGAGAAAACACATTGTTAAAAAATAATGAATAGTGTTGTGGTACCTTAACCCTGGTCAACACTAGCTTTATTTCAAAATAACACCCCCTTAGTTCGAATTTATAAGCAGAGTGTCTACACGACTAAGCCTGGTATTTTGAAATAAGGGGCTGTTTATTTCAAAATCTGTACTCCTGCTTTTTTGGAGGAATAATGCTAATTTTGAAATAGTTATTTCAAAATATCATTAGTGTGGATGCTCTGGTGCCGCTATTTTGAAACTATC